CATATATACGTAAATATACACTATTTAGATTTTTGTCTTAGGTTCTCACTCTGTTGCCCAGACTAAAGTACAGTGGCATGATCATAGCTTACTGCCGACTTGAATTGCTGGACCCAAGTGATCCTCCTGCCTCAGTCTCCCAAGAAGCTAGGACCACAGGTACACACCACCATACCAAGCTAATTTTTGTATTTTTCTGTAGAGATGTGGCCTTGCTATGTTCCCTAGGCTGGTCTTGGACTCCTGGGATCAAGCATCCTCCCACCTCAGCCTCCCAAAGTGTTGGGAGGCATGAGCCACTGCACCTGGCCTCTTGCTTTCTTAAAAAGGGGTATGGACTGGTTGTAATCCCAGCACTTAGGGAGGCTGAGGCAGGAGAATCGCATGAACACAGGAATTCAAGACCAGCCAGGGAAACATACTAGGACTCAGTCTCTACAAAAGAATTTTAAAAAATTAGCCAAGCATGGTAGTACATGCTTATAGTCCCAGTTATTCGGAAGAGTGAGGTGGAAGGATCACTTGAGCCCAGGAGGTTGAGAGACTGCAGTGAGCTGTGATTTCCCCAGCCTAAGGAACAGAGCAAGATCCCGTCTCAAAAAAAAAGTGGGGTGGGTGGGGGGGTAGTCTGTACTCATGGTCTCTAATTCATCTCTAATACCCCTTCTGAAATGCTGACCCCAAGAACACTGGATATGCTCTACCCTAGATGCAGCTGTTTAATGAAAATATTCAAAGGAAAATTTAACCACACAGTCTGTTAAACCATATTTTCCATGGGTCAAAATCTGAATAACCTCATTCTAACTTTTCCTTCCTTGTTACATCAAAAAATAAAATAAGTAGGGTATGTTTTGAAAGGCAACAAAGGGCAAAAAAATAAAAATAAATAGTGTAAGGCCGGGCGCGGTGGCTCAAGCCTGTAATCCCAGCACTTTGGGAGGCCGAGGCGGGTGGATCACAAGGTCAAGAGATCGAGACCATCCTGGTCAACACAGTGAAACCCCATCTTTACTAAAACTACAAAAAATTAGCTGGGCATGGTGGCGCGTGCCTGTAATCCCAGCTACTCAGGAGGCTGAGGCAGGAGAATTGCCTGAACCCAGGAGGCGGAGGTTGCGGTGAGCCGANAGGCTGAGGCAGGAGAATTGCCTGAACCCAGGAGGCGGAGGTTGCGGTGAGCCGAGATCGCGCCATTGCACTCCAGCCTGGCTAACAAGAGCGAAACTCTGTCTCAAAAAAAAAAAAAAATTAAAAATAAATAAATAAATAAATAAATAGTGTACAGTGGCTCATGCTTATAATCCCAGCACTTTGGGAGGCTGAGGCAGGTGATCACTTGAGCCCAAAACTTGGAAATTAGCTTGAGCAACAAAGCGAGACTGTCTCTACAAAAAAATACAAAAATTAGCCAGATGTGGTGGCATGTGTTTGTAATCCCAGCTACTGGGGAGGCTGGGGTTCGGAGGCTTCAGCCTGGGAGGTTAAGGCTGCAGTGAGCCATGATTGTGCCACTGCACTTCAGCCTGGGTGACATCCTGTCTCTAAAAAAAAAATAAAATAAGCTGACCAACATGATGAAACCCCATCTCTAATAAAATTAATAAATAAAAAAATAAAATAGGCCAAGCGCGGTGGCTTACACCTGTAATCCCAGCACTTTGGGAGGCCAAGGCGGGCAGATCACGAGGTCAAGAGATCGAGACCATCATGGCCAACATGGTGAAACCCTGCCTCTACTAAAAAAATACAAAAATTAGCTGGGTATGGTGGCACGCCTATAGTCCCAGCTACTTGGGAGGCTGAGGCAGGAGAATTGCTTGAACTCAGGAGGTGGAGGTTGCAGTGAGCCGAGATTGTGCCACTGCACTCCAGCCTGGCACCTGGCCACAAACCGAGACTCTTGTCTCAAAAAAAAAAAAAAATTAGGTGGGCATCGTCATGGCGCACACCTGTAGTCCCAGCTATTCTGGAGGCTGAGGCAGGAGAATCACTTGAACCCAGGAGGCGGAGGTTGCAGTGAACCGAGATCGCACCACTGCACTCCAGCCTGGCAACAGAGTGAGACTCTGTCTCAGAAAAAAAAAAAAAAGAAGTTGGCTATAGCCAGAGAAAAGTGGCTACAGCAGTGCTCATTGATGTTCTGCCCTAAAAAAATGTTTATCTGTTCCTCCAGCTTATGTAATTTATCTGTTAACATGTTCTTAATAGCAGGAATGCAGATTATTCATCTTTTTGTTCCCAGCAATAAATAAAATGCCTTTCAGCATTTACTTAGTAAATACTTGATGAATAAATAAAATGGACCAGGCGTGATGGCTTGCCCCTGTAATCTCAGCAATTTGGGAGGCCGAGGTGGGTGGATCACCTGAGGTCAGGAGTTCGAGACCAGCCTGACCAACATATTGAAACCCCATCTCTACTAAAAATACAAAATTAACTGGTTGTGGTGGCACATGCCTGTAATTTCAGCTATGTAGGAGGCTGAGGCAGGAGAATCGCTTGAACCCAGAAGGCAGAGGTTGCAGTGAGTCGAGATCACACCATTGCACTCCAGCCTGGGCAACAAGAGCGAAACTCCATCTCAAAAAAATAAATAAATAAAATAAATAAAATGAATTGTCAAAATAGTTCTTTTTTTCACTTTTATAGTTCACTCAGTGTCTAGCAGAGCTTAAGGAGCTTTTACGACAGAAAATACACAAGAAATTCAATGAACTTGGACGAGATAAAGATTTAGAAGGAAGTTGGAGTGATATCTCTTTGTCTGACATTGAATCCAGGTAACAAAGAAAAACCAGGGTTTTCTTGTGTTTTATTTTTAATACTTTGTTGTTAGCCTGGGTGATATAGTGAGATCTTGTCTTTACGAAAAATAAAAAATTAGCTGGGCTTGGTGGTGCACGCCTGTAGTCCCAGCTACTGGAGAGGCTGAGGTGGGAGGATCACCTGAACCCAGGAAGTTAAGACTACAGTGAGCCAAGATCATGCCACTGCACTCGAGCCTGAGGACAGGCTCAGAAACATCAACAACAACAAAAAAGTGCATACTCTTTGCCAGCCACTGTTTTAGGCATTAGAAAGGCGTAGGGAGTTGGGCAGGCCGTTTGTGTAGGGTCTTGTAGGCAACTGGTGTGACAGATTTTAGTTTCAACAGGAACACTGGCTGTGTGAAAAATAGATCATAAAGACGAAAGTTCTAATCAGGGAGAGTCCATAGGAGGCTCTTGCAATAATACAGGTAAAAGGTAATAGCAGCTTAGACCGGAGTACCAGTAGTGGTTGCAGGGGGATGTGTGGATTGGTTGGATTCTAGCTATATTTTGAAATTATAAACATCAGGATTTGTCTATGATTGGCTATGGGGCATGAGAAAAGAAGAGAATGGGCCACGCGTGGTGGCTCACGCCTGTAATCCCAGCACTTTGGGAAGCCGAGGCCGGCAGATCATGAGGTCAGGAGTTTGAGACCAACCTGACCAACATGGTGAAACCCCATCTTTACTAAAAATACAAAAATTAGCTGGATGTATTGGCACGTGCCTGTAATTCCAGCTACTCGGGAGGCTGAGGCAGGAGAATTGCTTGAACCTGGGAGGTGTAAGTTGCAGTGAGCCAAGATGGCACCACTGCACTCAGCCTGAGCGACAGAGTAAGACTCCATAATTAAAAAAAAAAAAAAAAAGAAGAAGAGAATGACTCCACGATTGGTTGGATGGAGTTGCCTTTAGCTGACATGGGAAAGATCAAAGGAGTGCAAATAGCGAGATAGTGAAGATCAGGAGTCTGGCGTTAGACTTGTTAAGTTTGTAATGCCCATTATGTATTTAGTGGAGTTATTGAACAAACAGTAGGATATATGGGTCTGGAGTTCAGTGGAGAGGTCCAGTGGATTGGTGCAGAGGGTCGTCATTGGATAGATGATTTTTTTTCTTGAGACAGGGTCTTGCTCTCCACCCAGGCTAAAGTGCAGTGGTGCAGTCTCTGCTCACTGCATCCTCAACTTCCTAAGCTCAAGCAATCCTCCTGCCTCAGCTCCCCAAGTAGCTGAGACTGCAGGTGTGTACCATCACACCCAGTTAGTTTTTGTTTTTGTTTTTGTTTTTTTATTTTTTTTTTGAGTCGGAGTTTCGCTCTTGTTACCCAGTCTGGAGTGCAATGGCACAATCT